ATGCTTAAAGTCACTTGTGTGAATACTGGACTACTCACATACTTTATATTAAGGCCAGGCATAAGCTCTGCTAAAGCGTAGGTTTATTCAGAATGTACCATAGTGCAAGGTCACTAGTTTGCCAGAGACAAAGGAGGACTCTTAAAATGTGTGAAGAAAGCTAAAAAATAAAGCAGAGAGAGTAAGGCTTTAAAAATAACATTTCAGTCCTTGTAAAAGATCAGTACCCTGTAAATGTGTTTGCCATTATAATATTTTTGCAGACATGTACACTGCAAAAAGACACATTTTACAATAGTTTTAGGGCTTTTTTTTCTACATTTCATTAATGCACTGTGAAAATGTGTGTCATTGTGTAAAATATCATTAGATTATAGTTCTCTGTCTTTTGTAGGTAGCTATTTTGAAAGTACTGCCAGAAACACACAGCACTCCCACAAATTGCCTTTTTTAAACTAAAGAACAGCTTTACAGATTCCCTTGACACCTATTAAGTATGAGCTAATACTGCCTCCATGCCACCTACACACCATCTCAGCATCCATTCCATGGTTTTGAATGTCTGTACTTCTACAGCCTACACCTTTTTTTGTAAAATAAAAAAAAAAAAAGAAATAAGAAAAAAAAAGGAAAAAGAAAAAGAAAAAAAGAAAAAAAATAAAGAAGGAAGAGAAAGAACAGCTCCCTCCCATCCTTTCTCCTTCCTCCCTGGAAAAAAAAATAAAAAAAAATGGAGGCCTGTAGCAGTAATTGAAGCTTTGGTAGTCATCAATGACAATTTTACTTAATCTTTAAAAAATGTGTCATTTTGAAAAATAACATTTAAAACCCTAGTGCTTTTCTAATTAAAATAACTATGACTGTAATTCACAGATGGTTTACTTTTACGGGAGTCTGAATGACATTAAAATTTCAGACTCAGATGAGAGCACTTTGTAGTCCAGAAAGTATTGAAAAGTGAGTGCTTTAGTGGAAGAACATTTTAACCTTTTTTTCCCCTAGGCAAGCAGGAAATGTTTTGTGATTAGAGAAAAGACCGGAATGAAGACAGGTGGCAGCCTCAAAAACTGTTTTGATATCTGGCATATGAAATTCCAACATTTTTCAGCATTATTGCTTCCCCTGAACACCAGAACTGTACAGAGGGCAGTGAGGCTAGCTTGTTCTCGGTCAGCTTTAGAGGGTATCAGGTATCAGATTTAGTTCAAAGACTGAGCAACACAGCTCTCCAGCCATACTAACATAATCAAATGTGTTATAGCAGTTTCTTCTATACATGCTTCTGTCTAGAGCTCTGCTCTCAATAGACCTGGCATATGATGTAAAATCTATAAATAGCTTTTATCCGAATGTACAAATGAATTTGTATTGACATTTTGTATTTCTTCATTCACTTAAAAATTGTAGCAGGCTTCTACTAATGAAATTCATAGCATAAGTGATGCCACAATAACTCCATTTATATCATTCCTAGGGTGTAGGATGGGAGAAAAGAGCGCTAATGCTTTGCATGTCCCCTAGCTAGCTTTGTGACTCTACAATTCCAGACACTTGTAGCTAAACTGACCATGAGCTTGAGCAATTGTCTTGACTGTGATTTCATGACTGCGCACTGCAAAATAAATTGCAACTCAATGTTTAGTTAAGTTCTACATTTGAAATACAGCCTAGGTGTGCCCAGTGTGTTAATTATGAGACTAATCGAGAGTGGGGTTGTTAATTTTGCCACAGGCATTGCTGGTAATCCGGGCTTTTTTAAGGTTTCAATATGTAACTTTTCATCCTCTTTTCTACTGCCAAGATACCATAATATTGCCCTAGCAGAGAGGAATGTTTTTGAGACTTCCACTGAGGGAGTAAGGAGAGAACAAGCATTCTGAGGAGTGAAGGGAGACACAGAAATGAGGAAAAAGTGGATGACTTGGTGTAGGCCTGAGACAGGAGGGGAAAAAAAGGCTCCAATGTGATGTAGAGGGTTTGTGGATAGGAAAAGTGGAGTATAAAGAGAAACTGTAATCAGAGGAGAAGAATATGGTTTTATTAAGTATTTGTACCCAGGCTTTGGTTGTCTGAGCTACTCAGATACAAATGGTAATTATAATAACTACATGATAATTTAATTACAGTTAACCATGTGAATAATAATTCAGTTATTCTTATAGAAGAATTGTAGATTTAACGTGATATGAGCAAGAAGATGGAGGGTTTAGTAGCCAAAGCTAGTAATAAGGAATGTTCAGTATGTGTTTTGACAAGACAGATGGAAAAAATAGTTGTTTGATGAGCAATTATTACAGAATTCGCAGGGTTTAGTGACAGAGTGGATGTGGTGGGAGGAGTCAAGGTGGAGTTCTGGTATCCTGGAAGAAAGTTGAAGGCATGAAAAAAGAATACTTGATGGAAAGAGAAGAGAAAATTGACATAGTTTGCTGGGAAAACATGAAAAGTTTTCTTGTTCATGATGTAGGATTAGATGTCTAAAAGAGAAGCCAATTTAAACTGATGAAGAAAGTGATTGACCTCTTCTCAGAACTTTTTGATGAAATAAGGAGGACAAGAAGTGGAGACAAAAGGAAAGATTCCTAAGAAAATTTAGCAAGCCCTGGGAAAGAAGCAGATTCCAGAATAGATAATGGATGAAGAAGCAAGGCAGAGTACTAAGATAACCAAGAGAATTTTGAAAGCAGAGGAATAAAAGTGAAAACTTTTGTTGGAAGTCACCGGTCAAGAAAATGTGGATGAGAATATGTCCCTGAGAGCAGAGTATCTCAGTCAGATTGCCTCAGATGAATATTTAGTTAAAAAATGGAAGGCATCACTCAAGAGAATCTATTAAGCAAATATAAAGACAACATTTTACCAGTGTAACTACAATTATAGAAACAGGATCTAGGACAAGGCAATATTGTTCTGGAATAATAACTCCAGTTTGTAAGCAGAAGGATTATTCCAGAATAGATGGTCTGAATAGATCTACTCTGGAACAGCTGAGTTGTACTAGTGTTTCTGTAGCTGCACAGTTTTCTAAAATAGCTGTTCCAGGCATTTTCCACCATGCAAAGAAAGCCTATTCCCTATTTATGAGTTTCTACAATGGCAAGACAAGTAAAATGTGTTTTTTGTCACCTTGCCTTCACACATTTTTCAGTAACACAAAAAGACCTATTTTATTGGGAAAAGAGATAGTGCTTTTAGAAAGCATTCTGATTTTGCCATTTGAGTGCATCTGATTTTAACTAAAAGACTAACAGTAGCACCAGCATTGTCTGTCAGCTCAACTTTCAGAATTAGAGACTTTTAAAAACATTCGATTCAAAATAGTTTCTCTCTAGAATAGAAAGAAGGGAAGCCAAGGGACAAAAATGTGCCCCAGTCATTTCTGATTTTTTTTTAATGGAGTTTGTACGTGGTACGTATGTTCTGGCTTTCTATAGTTCATCATTACCACTGATGTACATCTGACAGTAGTGTTTGGATTAAAAACAATTTGTTGAAAAGGTATGATAGTCTCCGTGCTGATACCTGTCTCCCAGATCTATACTAAACAAACAACAGTGGAGCAGGATGGTACAATGAGAAGAGAATGAGCTTGTGAGCTGCAGACAAACAAGAGTTGGAGTGAATTTCTGCAATTTCAGCCAGACTTGTAGTAATTAATCAGTATGCCTATTAGCCATACAAAATTAATAGTTAGACAGAAGCTATAATCTTCACAGGATAGTGCAGTTCCCTGGTACTGGTCCTTTTATTTCTAAGAACGGAAGGAAAGTTTCTTCTACAGAATCCCTGAGAAGAAAATGGTATAAGAAAACCCATTATTTATCCAATTTTTTTAGTTACTTACTCTTTGTAGAGTATAGAGTCATAGAATCACAGAATCATTAGGTTGGAAAAGACCTTTAAGATCATCAAGCCCAACCGTACCTGTCTACCACTAAACCCTGTCCCTAAGCACCACGTCTACCTGTCTTTTAAATACCTCCAGGGATGGGGTCTCCACCACTTCCCTGGACAGCCCATTCCAGTGCCTGATAACCGTTTCAGTGAAGAAATGTTTCCTAATATCTAATCTAAACCTCCCCTGGTGCAACTTGAGGCCATTTCCTCTCATCAAGTAGCTTGCTTATGTGTGGTGGTTTTTTTAAAGGCTATTAGAAAGGAATGCTTTTGAAGATTATACAGAAAAGAAATTTTAAGGATTGTTTCAGCATGTTCAGAAGGTATCAAAAGGAAGGTGTTTTCTTTTGTTCTAACTAGCTAAATTTTTCTGTACAGGGGGAAGAGCATCTAATGATTGTTATTAAGACCCTCAAGAGCTAGATGAGTTAAACTAAACAACTAGTCAGCACCAGAATAAGCTCATACACTCAATCAATACTTAGGAGATTATTTTTCACAAATGAGTCCCCATGTCTCTGACTTCTTAGGCTTGATTCTAAAAGGAGACTTGCAGATCAGCTTCAGCAGGCAAGGCTGAATTTTACTCAACATTAGGAACTGTTCTCACTAATGTCAGTGAGTTTCTCCCACCCTCAAAATTGGGCTAAATTCTTCCTGTTCCACAGATGGAAGCTGTTTGTTACCATTTTCTGCTGCACATGGGTTTATGGCTTGCCACCTTTCTCCTTGCCTACATCTCCCTGCTTTATAAAGGATAAACCTTATTTTCTATTACGCTGTCTAACACATTAGCGTAATTGCATTCAGAATGCTTTTTTTCCCAACCTGTATTTAACTTGAAAATTGTAGTATTTGTTCTGGATGGTTTTGGAACTGAAGGGGGACTGTGTGTCTGACAGATTGCTTGTCCTTTCCAAATACATCTTTTATTCAACCCGGTGATACTACCTCTCTGTCTAAGTATTGGCATTGTACCATTCTTAAATTGCAGATCTCATCTCAACCCTTAGCTGGATTGTATTCGTACTATCATTATTTACCTGCCATCATTTTGGCCTTTTTTGTTGATGGTGAAGGTTTCCCTGCTGTTTGTATTCTAGATAGGAGTCCGAAAAGTGTTTCTTAAGTACTGGCAAGCTGACCATCTCAACGATTTGTGCCTTCAGCTTCAGAAGAAAATTATAACCTGCCAAAAAGGTAACAATTACAGAACAGGTATTCCTGAGCTGTCGCTTTGTACACTGAGCAGAATATTGCATAACAAAAAAAAATTTC